TGTTCATGAAGACAGATTTTAACCAAAACCCTGGTTACCCATGTTGCGGATACCGGATCAATTTTTGCGGTAAACCGCGGTATTTATCCGTTCTGCGGTAATGGGAGGCGGTAACCGGATCGGTAAAACCGCGGTTAACCGTCGATTTTCATGCGGTTTTTATTACATGGGTAGTATATTCTTTAAATCAAATAGTCCTCAGTGTCGATGAAGGCAAGACTGTAGGTCACAAGTATTATAGTTAAAATCGTCCGAAACCCTTTGTTAATGAAATATGGAAACAAACAAAGATATCAGGGCCTAAATGTACAAAATTGCCCGACGATTATCGTTGGCTTCACACTTATTCAATGTTATTAAAATTAGATGACAGAAGCAGGAATCAATATAATGTCATATATCCATCATATTCGCCAGCAGCTTTTGGCTAACCAATTCTATTGAAGTTAGTTTACCTAATCAAATAAATGACATATGATTAGCGCATGCGGTATCCAAGGTACCTAACATTTTTTTCGAAAAAGAGCTCAAAAATACTTTTAACGAATTGTTAGAAAGGATTCAACTTGATATATATAATCATGGCAATTATCATCAACATTTAATAAAATAAAACTCGAACTTTCTCCTTTTCTTTAATTTTTTTAAATTGCAGAACTTTTGGTCAGACCTAAGTAATTGCTTCTGCGTTAAATGAAAGATTATCAAGGAAAAAAAACAATAGCAATAGGATTACTGGAAAGAGCAGGTGATTTTTGAAACGACTCAGTTATCTATTCTTAAACTGAAAATAATTAAAAAGACAAACATCAAATCAAAATCACAATAGATTCTTTTTATTCAATTGCACTTATTGAAGAAGAAAAATGTGTATCAAAATAATGGACCTTATCATATCACTAATATCTGACCCGCCTGCCAGGGATGTATTAACATCCACAGGGTCTCATGACTGTATAACAGTCATGAGAGGCGCCCCTGGGCTACTGGTAGCCCCCTGCGAATAGGACGTTAAACTTTACCGGCTAACGAAAAGGATCAGAGAAAGTGTATAAACGCACTCAAAACTACTTTCTTTGGTGGGTGGAACGTACGTTCGTGCTTTCGGCAAGTCAAGAGAGATATAATTATTAAGCAATTACAGAAACATCGAATTCAAATTGCAGCTCTAAGTGAAACTGCTATATATGACTCGGGTGTTATTACTACAGGCGATTATTCTATGGTGTATTCTGGTGCATCAAGCTGCAACAAAACAAAATCTGCTCATGGGGTTGCAATTTATCTGGACAAACAAGCCACTAATGGTTGGAAGGACTCGGGATTAGTGTGGGAGGCTGTAAATGAAAGAATAATAATGATTCGTTTAGAATGCAAACCCATTCACGCCACAATAATTGCAGTATATTCTCCAATAAACTCAAATGGAAACAAGCAGGCAATCGAAGAAGTTGATGCATTTTACTTAAAATTACAACAAACAGTGGATAAAGTTCCTAGAGGTGATATGCTTCTGATTATGGGCGACTTTAATGCAAGGGTTGGCAAGCAGCAAAACCAAACCACTAAAAATGTCATCGGACCTCACACTGTGGATAAAATAAATGAAAATGGGCAGCATCTGATAGATTTCTGTTCTCATAATGATATAATCGTGGCCAACACTTTTTACCAGCATAAAACAGTACATCAAATGACATGGAAGCATCCAGGAAACAAAAGATGGCATATGCTGGATTATACACTAGTTAACAAGAAATTTCGTTCAAGTGTAGAGGATGTCAGAGTGTACAGAAATGCAGCTGGAGCTATTGGTACCGATCATCATCTTGTAAAAGCAAAGCTACGGCTTCACCTAAGATGTAGGAAGAAAGCTGAAAAACCACAGTGCCTGCGATTGGACATGAATAAAATAAAAAATGATAATTTACAGAAGAAATTTCAAGAACAACTCTTGAACAAATTGGAAGGTATTGGTGCACAAAAGAAAACAGTAAATGAAAAATATGATGAATTTGTTGATTACGTAAAGAATCTAGGTGGTACAATATTTAAGCAAGAACAAAATACGCCAAGAAAAGCAAAAGAATGGTTGACAGATGAAATTCTGAATCTTGTAAATGAAAAAGCAGTTGCCTTTGTCGAATGGCAAAACCATCGACAAACAAGGACGGAACGAAAATATCGAGTTAAATACTGTCTACTAAGAAAATTAGTAAACAGAAAAATACATGCTCGAAGACTCGAGTATTGGGATGAAGTGAGTGAAGAAATAGAAAAGGCGATTAAGCAACATGATTCAAGTACAGCATACAGAGTGATAAGACAACTGAAAGGTGGAAGACCCAATGTAGACAATATGCCAATACAAAGCAAACAAGGTGATCTTCTTTCAAACTCAAACGATGTAACGTTGCGGTGGCGAGAATACTTCTGTGACTTATTAAATGTTCACTCCGTTATTGATCCACACATTGTTCAACAAATCTCGGTACCTATTATTTCAACAACAGAACAAATGCGACAAGACAAACCACCATCTCTGTCTGAAGTTCATGATGCTATCAAGCAAATGACGAACAGGAAAGCCCCCGGCATTGACAATATATCAGCAGACCTGCTCAAGGCTGGTGGCATACCAATGGCCAAATGGGTACATGAAATATTATGTGATGTTTGGAACGATGAAGAAGTTGTAGAAGATTGGACAACCGCCATTCTAATTCGGTTNGCTGTATGGTAGCGAAATTTGGTCGGTGACTGTGACACAAGAGAGAAGGATAAACACTTTCTATATGAAATGTTTACGGACAATCATTGGTGTGAACTTGGGTGATCGAATAGCAAACAACACATTGTTGGAAATCACCGGACAACCACATATTGAAAACATAATGAGACGAAATCGATTGAGATGGTTTGGACATGCCAACAGGTTGAATAAAGAAGATAATGAACCATCATTAGTGAGAAAAATTATGTTTTCCTACTATCCCAATGTAAAGCGACCAAGAAATGGTGGCATAAAAAGGAGATGGGAGGACATGATCGCTGATGATCTTAACAAATGCCAAATTCATAACTGGAGAAAGGACACTCTAGTTAGAGAGAAATGGAGAGAGTTGATCAACAAACCGGTACAAACTAGACCAATCCACAGTAACATCAAAAACATCGTTCAAGAATACAAGAATATGGCTGTAAAAAGAAGAATCGGCATACAACAAATCAAGGTTACAGAAGCACTTCAACGGAATCAGGACAACACGTATACATGTCCAAAATGTACCAGATTCTTCAAACCTCAAGGAATCACTAATCACGTACGAGCATGCGCAACAGATTGGTGTAAACAAAACAAAATTCAAATGTAGCAGCGTAAAGACAAGGCCTCGAAAACGGTGGGTGCAAATACTTCGTGCAATATGATGGGTGAAACCGAAACCTCTCCCTTGCGGTTTGGAGGTTGCATCCGGACAACAGGCGCAAGTATTAGTCGTCAACGGCGAACGAACTAGAAACCAACTAAAAGAACTTTTACCTCTTTTTTTTGTATATTTTTTTCTCTTGTGTATATATATTCTCTTTTTTGTAATATGTTTATTGTACCCTTTTTTGATCCTCACCCCACACCGAAAGGTAAGGGTAATAAATCTATCTAATATCTGACGGTATGTTCGAAAATTCTGATGGTCGTCATGCCTTTTGGCATTGTGCTCATGGAAATGCCTATCCGCATTATTGTCCAGCAGGTTTGGTTTGGTCACCAAGACAGCAGCAATGCACTTGGTTGGAACAATAAGTCTTTATTTGCTTTCCTGGTGGGGGATTTTGGCCCGATTTTCTGAAAGTAATTTTTGATCTTTGTCAAGTGTTCGAGAAAAATTTAAGTTAGCAAACTCGATAGCTTATTGCATAAATCAATAAAGAAATGTGTAACCAGAGATAATTTAATTCTAGCAGTTACGTCAACAATCACCATACCAACATCGTTATCAACGACGACAGAAGAAGCCACATCAAGTAAGTTTATCTTTAAAAGTTATATCATTAGTGCTAACTTGCAAATGCGAGATCTTCCGATGATGTTGCTTTTAATATTGTTAAAATGAATCAATTTTCATGTCTTATTTTATAGTCTGGTTTTGTGGGTCTCTATATCCGCAGCAGATTCTGAAAAGAAAACATGGTTGCGAGGAAAATATATCAAATGATTTGGAAATCCGTATTAGAAAATGCAGTGCCTCTCATTGTTCTTCTATTAAAAATTCTTCGAAGCACCACAGTGTCTGCTGATGATACAAGGAGAGTGTTCAACTTAGAATTTTTTCTTCTCCCGATGACATATCTATATGACTTCCTACGAGACGAAAATTAAGTATTTTGGTTAAACGGCGTTTTATATAGTAGATAGTATAAACTTCCATACATGTAACTTAACCGACAATAGTCGACGTTTTTATTTCTATTCATAGGTAATCTTCTCTGATGCATATCTTAATGAACACTAAGAATAAGATGAGCCGGGCGGAGCCATAAAAATGGGTCCATTATGAAGTCTGATAGGTCATTGTGCGGTGGAACAAGCATCAGATATTTATCGAAGGCAACATTACGTGAACATCTTTAACTTACACGTTACAATATTCTAGCAGTGACGTCAACTTCAATCGAAACTACAACAACACCATTTCCACAAAGTAAGCATCTTTGTTTTATTTTTTTCGATACTCTATCATGAATATAAACGATAGGTAAATAATTCGAAAATATAATCTACTCCATTGCTGTAAATTTTTCAACGTAAAATTCTGAAAAATAATATAAGTACATGATAGGACATACAGCGATGAGATTTTTCAAATGGGCTCTTTCTTTTTGTGTAAAATAAAAACAGGCTTGATAATAAATTGAAGCAGCTAACTCCTTTGAGCATATGATATATAGAAAGGGATAATAATAAAGTTTTCAATTTGTAGATTGTTCTAATTCCAGTCTAATGACATTCGACAACATCACAATAGAGTCTTCAGCTGAAATCCCATCTGATTATATTGGTTTGAATTGAATAAATTTTTATATAATGGATCCAACTGCCTTTTCACGTTATAATATCAATGGTTTCGTGACGGCACGACTCAGTGGATATATCGCATTCAATAAAGATGGACCGCCAATGGCAATTAGTGCTAGTCCGTCAAATAAATTTAATTTATATTCATTCGTAGTTTCATCTGGGTTTCGAAATCAGTTAAGATTAACTATTCTTGATTATCGTCAATCGAAGATATTGTATTCGGCAACATATCCGCTGTATACACTTTGGCAACAATTAATAAAATTAAACTATTTAGACGTTGAGGTGGTCACATTATCTGCTGTTGGTTCGTCAGAATTCTCTATGGATAACTTATGTCTTTCAGCGTAAGCTTATCGAAATCTAAAGATTGCTTATTGCTCCTATTATTCATCAACTCAGATTGTCGTCAGTCACAACACAGTCGATGAATATCATTTGACTCTTTGAGAAGAAAGTTTGATAGAAATAAACTATCTTCGGTGACACCCTCGATTAAACATATATTCAGTTATAAAGCAAATGTAGAACAAAGAGAGACCTTAAAAATTAGTGTAACTGTAGAATTCAGACTGATAGAGCTACATAAAAAATAAGGATATTATTACATGTTTCTAACCACAGTCAAGCGTTCGAAAAAATCTTCATTGTATCATTTATTAGAAATTATGCAATTTATAACATTGAGAAAAGTATTTCAGAGATTTAAGCAAGACTATCAAATAACTGTTCGATCTTGTTTTAGAAGTAACGATTGTCATATTTTTTCACTTGCAAAACATGAAAAAAATGCCTTGTGACTTTCTTCTTGCATTAGTAGAAAAGAGTGTTTGAGAAATATCCACGCAGATGAACATAATTCAATGGCTGCATTTATTTTTCATATTTCAATGTCACATTCAAGCTTGTAATCATTGTGAAAACATAAAAATTGCAGAATCCATATTTTTAATAGATAAGCATGATTGTAACTGTTTCAACAATCGTACATATTTACATACATTGACAAAGCAACACTATATGTACGCAAGTATCTAATTTCAAATTAGAAATCTACAATTATGTTTAATGAATAGAAATGAATTTCATAGGCTATTTTTCACTACTATTGTTTCAATAATGGCAAAAAGAAAAATATTCAAATTTCGACTACCTCGGATAAAAAATTTTGATCAACAGTTTCAAAACTTTCCGTTGATGAACAACGTCGGCGATGCATTGCACTCATAGAGTTATAATCTTCTGATGGTGATAAATGTTCAGCGAAACGTGCACGATATTCAAAATTTTGATGTAATGCATGAATTGATGCTTGACGATTTAATATATCAAAGCCAATATAAGCTACTTCAAGCATACTAAGTACCACATATGTAAAAAGATTTTCTCCACGCACCAAACGACTTTCTTTATTGCATTTATAGATATTTAAATGATCACGTTCGTAAAGAATAACCATTATAAGAGTATGTAATGCTAATGTTAATAAAACTAGTAATTGAATGGCACCGTACCATGTTATGCCAAGATCTACTCGAATTTTTGTATTTTCCAATTTACAAAGTATAATAATAAATAGAAAGAAATAACATAAGACAATTATTGATATGAATATTAAATGTATTAATTTAAGAAAACGTAAATCTTCATGTTCGTAAACGCAATGATTAACTGTTGTAAAACAAGAATAGAATTTTGATGAAATATTATAAATTACAGGTATTTGATTATAAGCATTATAAAGATGAACTTCCGCTGCTCGAACATGAAGACTATTGAAAACTAAAGCACCTGTTTCAACACAAAATAGAACGACTATAAATTTTGGATCCATTGTTTTTTGAGGAACAGTTGGAAGACTGTTTTGACTGTGTTTTAAAATCGATAATATTTTATGATCTTCCATTTTCTAAAAAACAAGAAGATAACCATTTAAACTGTTTACTATTTTCGAGTTTTATTAACATTTTGTTTTTCACAAGTTAATCAAATCATGTTGATTTCAATTTAAAAAACTGACGCACGCCGCTATTCCGGGACTAAAATGTGGAATCACATATATAATCATTTACTCTTAGCAATCAATGTGTAAAATTGTCTCAATGAGAAATCGTTCGTAAGAATCTAACATATGGTTAAAATGTTGAAATGGATCATTAAGTACTCGCTAATGTCCTTAATGGGGGGGGGGGGGGGG